TGCTATCGTCGTCCTGCCCAGGATGCAGTTATAGAGGGACGTGCATTCGATGACCAAGAAGCGGACGCTGATGTCCCTGGTTGTTTCCTCTTCTCTGAAGGTGACTTTCAGCTCCACGTATCCCCAAGGTCTCGTCGTCGTCCCGTTGAACCCCTGAAGGTCGGAGCCTACGTAGGGAGAGAGGTTGGATTCGTCGAGCTGGAGAGTTGTGAACAGATGTGAGTACATGATGTCAACTGAGCTCCCGCCGTCGACGAGGAGGCGCCTGACGTCAAAGTTTGCCATTCGGGCACGTATGAGCAAGGGTATGTTGGAATTGGGAGATCCCCCGGGTAGTTCTTCGAGGTAAAATGTGATCGGGTTGGAGCGGCCTCGGAATTTGTCGAGCGTGCTCATTTTGTTGGAGCGGCCTCGCAATGAGTTCGTCGAATTTCCTTTTCACAGATCCTATGGATAGATTCCTCGTGGCTCCATCAGAGATGACCATGGCTCTGGGGAAGTATTCCCATCGGCTAGTTGGTCGGATTGGCTCGTCGATTAGGTTGGGTACCTCGGGAACGCCGAATTCTCTGCTCGCGAACCAATCCTCGGGGCGGCTGACGCACAACGCGACCTGGAGCCTGCCGTTATCCTCTGGAGAGGGAAGTTCCTCAATTTTCTTGGCTTCTGGAGCCTCTAGCCTAGGTGGTTCACCTCCTCGGGTGTATCGCTTCAGGTGTCCGTCTTTGATTAGAATTTCGATCGCATCTTTGAGATGGATGCAGTCTTCTGTCACGTGCCCGTGGGTCCTGTGGAATCGGCAGTATTTTGACTTGTCCACGTTGGGTTTGGGCGGCGTTGGTCGCGGAAAACGGACACCTCCCTGCACGAACTCGATTTTAGCGCATTCGGCAAGTATGCGTTCACGTGAAGCGACCAAGGCTGTGTACTCTGTGAATCTTCCCGCCGGGCCGCACGGTTCGCGTTGTTCGCGGGGTTCGCGGGGGCGGTCTTCCCGACGGCGGTCTCCTCCTCGTCGATGGCTCGAAGCTCCGTCGTCTCGGTGCCCGTGGGGGGCCTCCCTGTCTCGAGTGTCGCGAGCGGAGTTGGTCGCCTGTGTTTCCTCGAATCGGATGTAATGCGCGGCCCTGTCGAGGAAATCTTGGAGGGACGTGGGCCGGTGTATGCCTACGGCCTCGTAGAATTTGAAGTCGTGGCGCAGGCCTTGTTCCATTAAGTAGCGTTTCATTTCGTCGGAAGTTGTCACCTGCACTGCTTCCCGAGTGAACCTTTTGATGTACTTTCGGAGGGGTTCGTCGGGGCCTTGGATGATTGCCCCGAGGACTGCTTCCGTCTTCGGGTGACGTCGGGACGCCGTAAAGTGTTTGGAGAACAGGTCCTTCAAGACCCTCCACGACGTAACTGATTCGGGCTCCAGACTTTTGTACCAGGTCATAGCGCCTTTCCTCAGAGTCGTTGGGAAGAGTCTGCACTTGATAGCTCCCCGGACGTTTCGGTAGTCGAGCATAGCCTCGATATCTTCCAGGTGATCGTCTGGGTCGGAGGTGCCGTCGTATGTCGACAGCGTCGGCGGCTTCTCCATCCCCTGGGGTATGGGGGCAGCCATGATCTCCCGGGACAGCGGGGTGCGGTAATCATCCTCGTCGCTTTGCGCCGGGGATCTGCGAGGGGATGAGCCGTTCAAGGTATGTCCCTGGTTTCGGGTTCTCGATCTCTTGCCTGAGTTCTCGACTCGGGGGTCCTCGGTTGGGATCGCCGCGGTGTTCTGGCTCCTCACGCGAACGTGTCTTGCCGGGGATCTGGTGCGTTCTCGCGTCACCTACGGGCGGTGTCTCTCCAGCCGCGGTCGGCGGTTTCTGGGTCGAGGTGAGGGACTCCTCGAACCTCCGTTCTGGTCTTCCCGTTGGGGGTACCTCGGAGGACCGATGCGCTCTAATGCTCCAATTCTAGCATTTTGTTGGAACAGTAGCTGGTTCGTCTGGTTGATGGCCGTAAATAGAGCGGCCACCGTTGGGTCTGCTCCCGCCGGGATGGGAACGGGGTGGAATGCTGGCGGGCTCGGGGGTCCGTGATCGGCCTGGAGGGGCCGTTCCGCGGATGATGGTGAAGCAGTTTGCCCGTCCCTCTCGTCGGCTTCCGTCGATCGTGTCGTTCCTGTTTGCTTCCCGTTGGTGGCGACGTTGAGCGCAAGGTCGTGCGGTGTGTCGTCGCGGTGTGGACTAGCCATGATCGTGGAGGTTTGGTGAAACTTTTGGTTCCTGCTCGGAGTAACGGGGAAGTTTCCGTTCCCACAGACGGCGCCACTGATCTGACCTGATCAGAAGGGGATCACGATATGGCCACGCGCTACTGGACGGCTACCTGTTCACCGACGATGAGAAGAAGGAGGGGGGTGTACCTGCAAGACACTCCGATGCCAAAGTAAGAAGTTGGGCAGAGTGGAAGCAATAGTACAGAAAAGGGCAAGAAGAGAGTTACCTGACCCTCTTGAGGAAGAGGGTATTTATAGAGAGACCCCAGCGCTGGGCCAACGGTCATTTGAGCTGAACTGGATGACCAGACCCAACCCTAATGACTGCTAGGGCTTACGTGGCGTAGTGAAGACCAGGACGTGGTCTTCGCCCTAGTCCAACCGCTCCTAGATCTCCGGAAAGTGGGTTTGACCTGCTCTTTCGGAGGTGGGCAGTTGGCTGGTGACGTGTCCCCGCAGAGGGGAGCACGTGGAGAACGTGCGCCGGGCACGTTGTTCTCCCCGCGGAGGGGAGCTCGGGAGGTTCCCGGAAGCAGGCTGTTTTCCCCGCGGAGAGGAGGAACCCCGACCGTGCTTTGGTGAGTCGGGGATGGTTCTGCTCGTCTGGTGTGGTGGAAGGTGAAAGGTCGTTGGGAAGACCGCTTTGTGTTCGGCGGTGTGCCCTGCTCGTCCCGAGGGATGCACGTGCCCGACGTGCCTGATTCATCTGTTGGGCCGTACTTGGTATTGGGCCTGCCGAGGTTGGGCCCATACCGGAACAAAAACAAACTGAACTAGGTTTTACTGCGAGGGATTATACTCACCACAATACTACGTCTATGACCTAATTTTGAATGTTTTTTATAAGAAAATTTGATTTTATTGGTTTTCCATGCATCCACTTTAATATTTTATAAAAAATTTAATCTCAAGAAATTAATATTTTTTTAAAGATTATATTATTATGTTTGATGTAAAATGTATATATTATATATTAAAACGTAATTTATTTTTGAGTGTTATTTATAGCTAGTTAAAATAAAATTTAAATATGTATAAAATCAGGTAAATATATATATCAAAAGAAAAGTTGAGATTAAATCATATCTTTTACTTAATTATGTATCAAAGATTTAAAAAAATTAGGCGCTTTTATGAGGAAAAATTAATAATCAATTTTAGAAATATACTTTAATTCAATCATTCATATTCATTTTCATATTCTCATATAAATATTGCATTCTCATATGATATGTTATATGTGTGTGTGTGTGTGTGTGTGTGTGTGTGTGTGTGTGTGTGTGTATGTGCGCGCGCGCGCGTGCGCGTGTGCGTGTGCGTGTTCGCGTGTGTGTATGTGTGTGTGAACGTGACATTTAAAATAATCCAAAATAAAAATAAATTTATTTTTTTGAGATATTTTCAAAACTTAAAATAATAAAATCGTGTTCGATCATATCCCAGAAGGTTTAAACAACCAGAATATTTATATGGCAAGGTTGCTTTTACAAAAAAAAAAAATTACAGGAACTCGCCTATATGGCAAGGAGTAAAATGATATTAACTTTTTTTTTATTAGAAAGAGATTTCACTACGGAACGCAGGGTGTACTCAAACTCTAATTATAAAAAAAGATGTCAATCCAACTAAACTATGACATCCAGATCAAAAGAGCAGAATAGAAACAAAAAAAATTGAAGTTGGAGTTTGACATATCTCATTAAAATTTATCTCCTGGTTAAATATTTAATTGACCAAACTATATTGTTCACATTACACAATTAACCTTTCGAAAAGAATTATGTTTCTATGTTTTCAAAGTCCCCAAAGAACGGCACACCAGATAATACCTTCTCTATTTTTCCGCACCTTCTTTCCCATTTTAATATAAGACCACAAAAAACAAGAAATAAGATCTTCCCCTTCAAAAGCTACAAATCCGACCCACATGTTAATAGCATGCCAAACTCGGGTAGCAACTCCATTAGACAAGAACAAATGCTGCAATTTTTTCTCAAAAAGAAAATAGAACGTAATGGAGATTATGAATAGAACTTAAAACACCTCTTCTTTTAAGCTAGTCTTTACAAACCAACATATCCATAATAATTCTCCAATTAAAAACTTTCTCAAATTAAAAACCTTTATCTTCATAGGCATATGAACAACCCAAATTAGTTTGCACGTGGCATATGAGCAACCCAAATCAGTCTGCATGTATTTGCAAAGAAAGAAGCAGGAGAATGAAGACTATTGAACTCAACAATTTTTTAGTAGCATGACCTCAGACTTTTGATTTCTCATGGATCCAAAGAACTTCATCTTCTTTACCCTTGGTAAAAGTCTGGCTATCTAACAAAGTCATAACATCATGAATGTTATCTGAAAAATTCTCCCGAATCTCAGTTTCGATTCCCAAATCACCCAATACCCACGAATCGTTAACCAAAGCATCCATATTAGTCACCATTTTAGATTTCATCCTGCTACCGCTGAAAAGAAGTAAAATTATTTTACACATATTACATATCCTAATTTCTTTATAATATTAAAAAAAAACTATTTAAAATTGAACTTTATGAATAAATAGATAAAAATAAATCTAATCATTCCATAGCCGCTAACAAAATAAAAATAGAAAGCACAAAATTGGGTAGTGGTAGATTTTTTATTTTGTACATAATCCCACAAAAGTAACCTAATTTTAGTTTGTTTCATATTAACTTGAAACCAGTGGCGGCACATAACTCATTCCATCGACGTCTTCAATATGAATAGGAAGAAGATAGCTTTTCAGAAATCACCCTTCCTCCTATTTTATTTATCTGATGAATGTTGGGAGCATGTCTTCAAATTTCTCATCATCTGCAGCGAAGGTGAAACCGAAAACAAACACAAACTCTACTTTAAATCTCTATCTCTCGTCTCTAAACGGTTTCTCTCCATCACCAACAGACTTGTATTCTCTATCACCATTTCTGATCATTCATCTCGTCTTCTCCCTAGTTTCTTCCATAGATTCCCCAACCTTAATTCCCTTCACCTCCACTTCGGCTCCAGTCGTCTCGACTCAACCATTGCTTTGACTCTCCGTGACAGACCAACATTGAAATGTTTATCCATTTTCAATATTGAGCTAAACGATGCAAATGGCATTACTTCACAATACATCGATTCCCTCGTCACTTTGAAGGGTTTGAATATTCTTAAGTTCTGTTATTCACATATCTCAGATGATTTACTGTATTCTATTACAAGGGAAGTTCTTCCTTTGAAGAACTTTGTTCTCAAGAATTGTATCGGCTATAGTTATGATGGAATTTATTGTTTGTTATCCAAATGTCCAGAGATACAACATTTGGATTTGCATCAAGCTGATTTCTTAAGGGACCATCATATTCACCAGTTATCTTTGTTTCTTGGTAGTTTGCTCTCTATAAAACTTTCTAAGTGTTTGAAACTCACAAAATTAGCCTTGTCTTTCCTCATTAGGAACTGTCATTTACTTAGTGAAATTACAATGGAAGACATTAAAATGGAGACCGCACAAAATTCTGATTCTTTGAAGGATTTTGACGTGAACCCTCAATTAAAGTCTCTATGTTTGGGTCACGGTGCCTTTATATTAAATAAAAACATCATATTGTTTGCTTCTATTTTCCCTAATTTGCAGCATCTTGATTTGAGTTATTGCAATAGCATATGTGAAAAAGGTATTTGTCAAGTTCTAAGAACATGTTCTAAGGTTAGACATTTGAACTTGGGGTATTTTTATAAAGTTAGACGACTTAAAATGAATTGTGTAGTTCCTCATATGGAGGTGTTGGACTTGTCAGGTACAAAGGTTGATGATAGAACACTCTATCAGATCTCAAAAAGTTGTTGTGGGCTTTTGCAACTATTAATGCCAAATTGTAGATATGTCACAACAAAAGGAGTGATGCGCGTGATTAAAAATTGCACACATCTGAAGGAGATCGATTTGAGAGGCTGTCATGGAGTGACAACTAATGGTGTTATCTCAACTCTTTTATCAAGACCAACATTAAAAGAGAGAAAACTCTTCTTGCATAATGGATGTCTTTTCTTCAAATGAAGTTTTAGCTCTAAAATGCAAGATGTTTTTGGTTTTTAGATTTGTTTGTCGAGAAATTACTCTTTTATTTTTAAATACGGATGTAATGCATGCGTTAAATTTTAATGTTTTTCCTTACTCTTCTTTGAATTATATTACTTGTATTAGATTTTGTGTCATTCTTCATTGGCAGTATTGTTGATTGTTTCGGATCTAATTTGTTAAGGATTAGAAGTTAGTATGAATGTTTTCGTACATAGTGGAAACCTCTGTTTTATCATACAGACATGGCATACAGTATGGTGGAAACAAAATCATACTTAAACTAAGATATGACAATAGTTTAAAGAAAATGAATAGTATTTCTAATATGCATGTTTGATTTCCTTTATTGTTCATTGTGTTGCATAATGATGTCCCATATATAGCATTGTAACCTCATAATAAGTCATAACCAACCATACCGATAAAATGTGAACATCATAACTTCAAATTAAAACCTTCTCTTTAGGACTAATAATAGATAACATACTCAAATTTTGTGCTGATTTCAAATTAGTGAAATTACTATTTGTTGTTAATTTTACTATTTTGAAATAATCACAATATTATAGAGAAATTTGAATTTGTCATCAGTTAGCAGTCATAAGGATAAGGTTATGTTTCAAGTTATGATAATGTTCACTTTTCTTGGCATGGTTGGGTAGGACTTAGGAAGCAACAATACGGCTACTTAGTTTATACCTTAAAATAGTAGTCAGCAGCTCTGGAGAAGGAGAGCCATGGAATCCCACAGTGCTTCTGCTGCACTATGATTCACGGACGCAAACATAAACATCACAGAGAACTGACACTAATGCAAAGATATGAAAATATGATTATGCATGTCAGTGTTATATACATATCTGACAATGACACATACTCCAATTACAACACTAAAACATCATCCATTTTGTTTCATGAATGTCAATCTCCCTTCATCCTAAATTCACATTTCCATTATAACTTCCATTGACCGCAGGCTCAATCACTCCCACCTTCGGCATCATGTATACTAATACAAATTATTAAAATTTAAAATTGAAAACAGCTCTAAGGATAGGCCACAACAGACCAAAATGGCAGTGCGATTAACCTGCAGGTTGCAGTAGATCGTAACAATAGTGTGGATACGCCGCACCAGGTTGAAAAATCTCCCTGCACTAGAACAAACCAGAAACGGCAGACTCGGCCAGCTGCTGCAGAGCACACCCGTCTTGACCACACTCCACGGAATCAGACTGCAACAGAAACCCACGACTAAACCGCATGGTGCCTCACACTACACCTCAAAGTGAAACATTGTCTCTTAAACTAATTAAGGGGATAATCAATACTTCAGCTTGTATAATAATATAAGCTCAAACCATATGAAAATGTTCACAATTTGGAAGCTCTGAACCAAAGCAGAAGTCAAGTTGACTGCTAAACTAAATTGTTATCTTTTCAATTCCAGCCAAAGACAACAACATCCAGATATAACTAAGAAATCCAAAGGTCAGTTAAGCCATTGATGTTTTGGGATATTTCTTACATATTTGAATATAAGAAAATGGGTATGACGCAATTCTTATCCAAGTAATATAATTTAAGAGTAAAGAAAAACATCAAAATTTAAAAATTCATAGAAAAACATCAAAATTTAAAAATTCATAGAAAAATCTAAAACTATATTTCAATGATTATCATCAACAGGCGATTAAATACATATTTGTAAATTGTTATTCTAAAAAAAAGTAATTTGTTATAGAAATAAATCTAAAAACATAATTAAAACTTTAGAAAATAATACATTCATAACTAGCAAACAAGATATCCATTTCCCTAAAGTGAGAAGAGTTTTCTCTTAGATGAGAGCCTTGATAAAACCATTGACACAACATTTCTGTGACATAACTACAATATTTAAGTGATAAATGTAAAAGTCCACAATAACTTTTCAAGATTTGATAGTGTTTTATCATCGACATTTGTATTCGACAAGTTCAACACCTTCAGTTAAGGAACTACAAAGTTCATTTTAAGTCCTGTCACTTTATCACAATGGGCCAAGTTCAAATGTCTAAGCTTAGAACATCTACTTAGAACTTGACAAATACTTTTTTCAGTTATGCGATAGCAATATCTTAAATCAAGATGCTGCAAATTAGGGAAAATGAAAGAAACATTATAATGCCTTTATTTTTGATTAAGGAATTGTGACCCAAACTTAAAAACTTTAAGTGGGGGTTTATATCAAAATCCTTCAAAGAATCAGAACTCTCTACGCTCTCTCTTCAAATGTCTCCATTGTAATCTCAGTAAGTGAATGACACATCCTAATAAGTGCAAACAAGGTAGATTTTGTGAGATTCAAACAATTACAAAGTTTTATAGAGACCAAACCACCAAGAAACATAGATATCTTAGTAATATGATGATCCTTTAAAAAATCAGCTTGAGTGCTCACCTAAACTACCACCAAATTTTAGGCTTTTCTATCTAACAAATATAATTTTTAAATTTTTTATCTAAATAAAATTTTTCATTTTTTAATTAAATAACCTATTTTTCTAAAAACAAAACTCTTTCAATAATCCTACATTCCAAAACAATTCTTAAAAAAAATTTAAATACTCTATTTTTTATTGTATGATAGGGTTAAAACTAATTTTGCATGTCTTTGTATCCCTGATAGGCTGGTCTAATACAATTGAAGGTTTATGGTAGAATTTGAATAAAGTATTTTCAAAAGTAACAATATATATTATTAAATTTTGTATTAATTTATGTTTAAATAAATAAATTAACAATTAAGCTCTTAAACATTTTTAATTTATTTTTTAAATGATATGAAATTAATTAATAATTTAAATGACTTTTTATTTAGATAGATATAATTAAAGTTAAAACTCATAAAACGGAATTCCGGTTAGTAGTATTTTTAGCCATCTATTTTCTTCTTCACTCTTAATTTTATCTTTTTTTGGTGCCTTAAATAGAATGGGTTGAGGTTAATATTTATCCAAAATCACTGGTTACAAATTTTTTTTTCATTTAAATAAATATATTTTTAATTTATTTATGGGTATAATAGATTTTGTTTTAATAAATTAGATTTTGAAATCTATGAATTTATATATATATATATATATATATATATATATATATATATATATATATATATATATATATATATATATATATATATATATATATATATATATATATATATATATATATATATATATATATATATATATATATATATATATATATATATATATATATATATATATATATATATATATATATATATATATATATATATATATATATATATATATATATATTCAATCTTTCCAACCTAACTCCTAATGACGTAAGCCCTAAAATCTGTCCATTCTTAATCGCGCTACTACCATTATCGTGGTCGGCCGGACTAACATGTACCAGAAAACATAATGGCGGCGGGAGATCTATATTTACCTGATGACTGTTGGGAATGTGTTTTCAAATTCCTCAACAACCATGAAGACGACAAATATAATTGCTACCTCAACTCTCTCTCCCTAGTTTCCAAACAGTTCCTCTCCATCACCAACCGTCTCCGATTCTCCGCCGCTGTTGGCTCAAAAATACTTCCGTTCATCCATCTTCTATTTCAGAGATTTCCCAATATCACATCCCTCAAACTCAACTGTTCCTTCTACCGTGATCCCAATGCCTTCAACGGTGATCGCAACGCGTTTCTTCATCAAATCTCTAGTTTCTCTTTGAAACTCAAATCCCTCGATCTCTCCAGCCAAAACATCATTCCTGCAGATGGGTTGCAAGCTTTCTCTGAAAATGTTACAACTTTGACATCTCTCTATTTTTCCCAGATGAATTCTATAAGGAGCTCTGACATGTTACTAATTGCCGATTGTTTTCCTTTGCTCGAAGAACTCAATCTCGGTACAATTACAACATTCAACTCTGAAGATAACTTCATTGATGGGATAAATACTCTTTCATTGGCACTTTCTAAACTTAGCAAGATTAATCTCTCTAGTCATCGTTACATGACCAATGAATGTCTTTTCCACCTGTTCTACAACTGCAAGTTTCTTCAAGAGGCCATCATATATGATTGTCTTAACATCACCAATGCTGGTATTGTTTCTGCTCTCCGTGAGAGACCAAATTTTAGATCTTTACATTTTACCAATAAAACAGACAATTGTTCAAATTTGTTTGCCATCCTTAGGAGCTGTCCTTCACTTAGCAATATCAAAATGGAATGCCCATATCCACGTTGGTGGGAAAAGAGCGTGGATAATTCTAATTCTTTAATGGTTCTAAGCCCTCAATTAGAGACTTTATGTTTGGCTAACAATACATGGCTAAGTGATGAAAAGCGTTATAATATTTGCTTCCATTTTCCCCAATTTGCAACTACTTGATTTAAGTTATTGTGATAAGATATCTCAAGGTATTTGTGAAGCACTAAAGAAATGTCGTAAAATTAGGTATTTGAACTTAGTCCATGTCATACCCCAAATTTGTCCTACCTTTATACAACCTTCATTCTGTATATTTACCCACTTGCTTTATTCAAAAATTCCAAAAATATGTTGTTATTTTCACTCGAGGATGTCAGGTTAGACGTGTGGACAATGTCGAATGAGGAATGGTTCAGGCCACCTGGTTGAAGCTGATTTTTGCAGATTTTTTTCAATACAATGCATATTTGAAGGCATTATCCCTTGGTTTCAAGGCAATGAGGTTTTGGTTCATGGAAATGCGATTTCACTCCCTATTTAATCTCAAGTTTGAAGGTGGATTTATTATTGTGTTTCTTTCAATTTTATTCACGGCCAATTTGGAATTATGACTTTTTCTTGGCTCATTCGAGTGTCATTCATTTTCAAGTGAGAAGTTAAGTGAAGAGGACTTTGGTTTTTGAATTCATATAGGAATTTCATCATCAAGTTATTTGTGAATTCAAAGATGTTATTCCAATCAAGTTACAAATGCAAGTCGTGTGCTTCACATGTCATATAGTTGTTTCAAGCATGAGAAATGTCCTTTCATAGGTTATATTGTGAGGTTAGTTCAGAGAGAAATTTGTGTCATGATGTTCACGAGATGGTGGCCTACACGAGAACGAGTCTAAAGATACTATCATCAATTCATTTTGATCTGACCTGATCAGAAGGGGATCACGGGCTGACCACACTCTGTTGGACTGCTACCTGTTCACCGGTGATGAGGAGGAAAAGGGGGGTGTACCTGCAAGACATTCTGATGCCAAAGTAAGGAATTGGGCAGAGTGAGAGCAAAGTACAGAAAAAGGGTAAAAAGTGTGTTACCTGACCCTCTTGTGAAAGAGGGTATTTATAAAGAGACCCCAGCACTGGGCTAACGGTCACTTGCGTTGGGCTGGATTGCCAGGCCCAACCCAGGTGACTGCTAGGGCTTACGTGGCGTAGTGAAGACCAGGACGTGGTCTTCGCCCTAGTCCAACTGTCCCTTGATCTCCGGAAAGTGGGTTTGACCTGCTCTTTCAGAGGTGGGCAGTTGGTTGGTGACGCGTCCCCACGGAGGGGAGCACATGGAGAACGTGTGAAGGTCTTTCCCGCGGAGGGCAGAGTTTGGTCGAGCGGGGAGTCTCCTGCCCGACGTAGTTGGGGCAGGCCTTCCTCGCAGGGAAGCCTTTTTGGCTTGTCGGGGACCTCATGCCCGACGCGGTACCCGGACTGGACAGGGCCTGGTGGAACATTATTGGGCTGGGCCCGCATGGTCATCCCGGGACCCAGGCCAGAACAGGAGCCCCCCAAGTCGTTGCTCCGAGGAAGGGAGCGAGGACTTGATGACGTTGTTCTGGAGAAGTGGACTGGCCCGGGGAAAGATCCTCCAGCGCGAGCACGTGCGTTCTACGTCGTCAATTGTCCGGGCTTGAAGACGGGTGTTGGCGAGGAGAGGTGAGGGGGCGCGTCTATCTGCTTCCACCACGTGTCGCACGTTGGGTGGCTGCTAGGGCGGATACCCTAGGGTACTCAAGTGCCTAGCGACGCTTCGAGTCCCGTACAGGGGTATAAGTAAGCGATCCCCCGCTCATTTCTCACTTTTCGCCCTTTTGCTTTTAAGTTTCCTGCTTGTTGTCCCGCCACCGTCTGATATCCCCGCCGTCACAACCGTCGCGCCCTCCGTCGTAGATTTTATCGCAGTAAGTTTTCTTTCTCTTTTCCTCTACTTTTCTTGTTTGTTTTATGACTGTGGTCGGGGTAGTTTAAATGCCCCGAGGAGAGGCGAAGATCATCGCCGTTGTAGGGTTTTTTTTAGGGTTTTTATCATGAATGTCCCGGGGTGAGACGTTAGTTCCGATGAATGTCCTGGGGAAAGAAGATTTTTCCGATGATTGCCCCGGGGAGGGATTCCTTACTCCGATGAACGTCCCGGGGAGCAACGTCTATTCCGACGGACGCCTCTGAGGAGGGTTTGCAGTTTGGGTCATGTTAATAACCGGGGAGGTGGTAGGTTAGGATAGATCCACCGGGGACGATGCTCGGGGGGTCCTCGTCGCCCTTTCACTTGACTTGCGGTGGAAGGGTGAATTTTATCTCTGTCATCGAATTCACCGTTACCTTCTGCTTTTCAGGTGTTAATGACTACGCTTGTCCTAGGCACAATGGTCGAGGATAATGAACCGGATGTCCCACATTTCGATGAGCGTCCCATTCCGATCAGGGACTGGGTGGCCGAGGAGCCTCTAACTACGCCCTCCTGCTTCGCCGCTGATCCGACAGGGGCCTACGCCGTCATGGAGAACCGGAGAGAAGGGGATCCGCAGAACTGGCAAGTCTATCGTCCCCGGTCGGGCCATCGTATCTGCTCGAAATACGGGCGGATGCGCTTCCTGATGTATGAGTTCTACTTTAAAGAGGCCAGCCTTAGGTTGCCCTTTTCGGACTTCCATCTGGGACTCTTCAACTGGCTGAGGTTGGCCCCGTCGCAGCTGCACCCAAACACCCTGGCTTTTATTCGGGCCTTCGAGCTCGTGTGTCAATATCTCCAGGTCGGCGTTACGCTGTCGTTGTTCTTTCGTGTTTTCCATCTGCACGGCAGACGGTGAGTGGTCAACATGGCTGGGTGTCGTTCAAGCAACCGGACAGGCTTTTCAAGACGTATATGGATTCTGTCCGGGACTTCAAAGGTCGTTTTTTCGTGGTCAGCCCGATCACGCACGAAGGGATCCGTTCTTTATATTCAGAAGGGGAGAGGATAGTGGATGGTCGTCGCGAGGCCGTCATGCTGCCCCGGGTGCACGTGGAGTGGTCTCTGGAACACTATTCTTAGGGAACAGGTCGGTATATCGTGCGTGCAGGTTCGCTCGACGACAAGGACATGGCCAGCTATCTGAAGATAGTTTCCTTCGTGTGCAATTTACCGTCGTCGAAGCTGGTCACCCCCGATGGCCGGTATATCCTCGACAGCTATGGGAACGTTCACGAGACGCCGAGGTTGATTAATACAAAGGCCCTGCTCGAGTGTGCCTCAGAGAAGGATGCTCAGCGCTACCTAGGTGGTGGACGCCTCGTCTTCTCTCGACCTGATACCCTTAGTTTTTTATTGACCAGTTTTCTTTGTTGTGCAAGGAATATGGCTTCTGTCGAGGAGCGGGTGAAAACGTTGCGCGCCTCAAGAGCCGTTGTTCCTCCGAAGACGCGGGTCACCCAGTTAGTCAGGCAGTCTTCCGATGAACAGGATGGACGAGGGTCGTCGAAGTCTCCACCTGGCAGCCAGTCGCCTACTTCTCAAGGGGCCCTGAAGAGGGCGAGAGTTCAGGAGGATACGCCCGTGGTTGACTTATCGGTGGATTCTTCCGAGGAGGGTTATCCTATTGCTCCTTGTCACCAGCACCCCGGCTATTTCCATGGGGCTAGGTCGCCCAGTATTCCTGCGGGGGAGGCGAAGGCAATTTTGAGTGTTGACCGTGCTACGAGGAGGCAGGTTTTGACTGAGGACTTGGCCGCGCTGATGCGGACTTTCACTACAGCGATGGTTCTGAGCGAAGAAAGCTGCTCGGTCGTTGAGCTGTCAAAGCTGCAGGGGGATCTCGCTTTCATGCAGTCCCGTCTAAACAAGGCAGTCGAGGATCTGGAGGTGAGCCGAGGGAAGGTGACTCAGCTGAATGAAGAGCTGAAGAAGTCTCGCGGGGAGGTGGCTCTCGAGCGCAAGAGGGGTGACAGCGCCGAGGAGAGGCTGAGGAAAGCTGAGGAGGAATTGCGGGCGTCGAAGGCTCGTGTGGTGGAACTCGAAGGCAATCTCTTTCCTGCCGATGACGAGACTGACGATGACAGGTTGCTGGTTACCCGGGCTGACCTGTTGTCCAGGATACGAGTGTTGGAAGGTGATTGTCTAGATGCTTTTGCTGCGGGCTTCAATGGTGCCGTCGCGCAGCTTAGTGTGGTGAACTCCGGTGTTGCCTTCGTCGAGGATGGAATCGGGTCCTTCCACGAGATAGTCGATGGCCGTGTGGTCGACCCCAGCGCCGAGGAGGCTGGCCCCGTCGTCCCTGTCGTCGAGCCTGAAGCTGAGGAAGAGGAGGGAGCATAGATTAGCCCCGGTCTGCGTGCCCGCCTATTTCGGCCTGCGTGCCATACTTTGTATTATGTTGTTTTCTTTGTCGGGCCTGCGCGCCCTTGTTTATGTAATATTGACTACTGGGCTGGTGCCCGCTTATGATTAATATATTTTTGAGAATTTTCTAAGTGTGCGCCTCGTTTTTGCATGTTGTTTATGCTCGTTTTATTTCTTCATTTATATGCTCAAAATGTATGTATGTTTGAAATGCATGTTTAGTATGCTTTTGGGCCTATCCGGGGTGGTATCTCGACGACGATTGTTTCCGGCGGTGTGGGGAACTGGCCGGCTGGTCGGTTTTGTTGCCTGACCGGTTCGGGGGTAGTTCTCCCCGTGGCGTGAACGTCCCATCGCGAGCTGAGTGTCCTGCCGGTGTGCGGTGGGGAATCTCGATCGAGGTTTTCCCTGCCGAGCAAGGCCTTCTTCCCGCGCACACAAGAGGCAGGGCTTGCTTTTTCTCTGTTCGTTAGGAGACGCGAGGAGGTATGGTGGTACCATGTCGCCCCCCAGTGGTCGCGGTGATGGATCGTCGCGGGCAGTGTTTAGCTGTAGTACCGCTTAAGTTTCTTGGCATTCCATGGTCGAGCTAGTTGTTCCCCGTGTAGGTTTTTGAGGTAGTAGGCCCCGTGCTCCGTCTTGTCGCGGACACGGTAGGGACCTTCCCAATTTGCGGCTAGTTTACCCTCGTGTGAGTCCTTCTGGTTTCTGCGCAATACTAAGTCGCCGATTTAGAAGTCGCGTTTCAGGACTTTGTTGTCGTGGCGGAGTGCAACCTGTTGTTTCATCCGGGCTTCCCGTAGGGATGCTCCTGAGCGAA